CCTGGGAGCAATCCAAGAGTTGCCGACTTTTGGGTTGACTTCTGGGATTAGGTTTAATTAGTCAAATTTTCGTTTCTCGAAAGAAGTTATTTGACCATATTTCCTTTTCCGTGATTGTAGTTTCAAATTTTTTGGTTAGTACAGACTGAAAAAAAAATCGTAGTTGAGTTATAGCTAATTTTACATGCAAAATCATAAAAGGGCTGAGGCCTTGACCTAATGATTAATGTTGAGACTACAGAAATTAAAGATCTCAGGTTTAAATCGTCCTAATGTGAAGTCTTTTAAATTCTATTCTTCCCCTACTGAAAAAAAGGAACCAAAAAATAACCACATTTGATAATTCAAGTTTCCTTTTTGTTTTTTTTTTTTTTTTGCACTTAAGGCGTATTTCATCAAATTTGTGTATTTCCAATTGAAACCTTAGCGTTGAACCTTTTTTTGGTAGATGAAAAGTTTTAAATCCAAAATTTTCTACTCATAATTCTTTATACAGTACCACCCAATCCGACACCCTCAGCTTTGATTTTGATACATGCCAAGTGAGGTGGCCTCAAGAGTTGCCGGCTTTTGAGGTTTACCTGGGATTTAGGGTTAATAATTTAATTCTGAGTGAGGAACTTCCCTTCTACTTTTTCTTTTAAATAATAAAATTTTTGGTTTGATGATCGGCTAGGATGGGATCCAAACTAGAATGCAGAAATCGGGTAGGCCACAGCCCATCCAGTGGGTCAAAACGTGGACAGTCACGATTGCCTGAGAGGATGCGGTAGATCAACGTCGGAGATCCAACGACCTTTCCTTCAAAGAGCGACTTACAAGGTCGCTCCAGATGTTTGTGCAATTAAACAGTAGAAAGTAGAAACAAAAATCAGAAGCCAGATCGCCTCCCTCCCTCTAATCTCCGGCATCCTTCTCTCTCTGTCTATATCTCCCTCTCTTTCCAGCTTTCTCAAGGTGATTTTTTGATGGACTAATTATTCTTTATTTCTTGTGCCAAACTGCTAAAACATCTCGAAGTCCCGATCTGAAGATTAGGGTCTTCGTTCATATTTTTTCGCTTGTATGTAATCATTTGCTCTATTTTGAAAATTTCTGGTTTTGGGAACGGATGTATCATTTATTTTTTAATGCATCAAAGTTGATGGAATTTCATGTATTGACTGATGGAACTTAGAAGAAACGTTTTGCAGTTAGCGACTATTTAAATACTGTTTAGGTGGTCATACTCACTGTTCAAAAACATGTTGAATTTGCTTCAAGCACAGTGTTTGAGAACTAAGACTCTTTGATTGCATTTGGGATTTGAATGTTTCTTTCATTGTGTTAAAAATATTTTGGCAGCTACCTACCATGTGGGATATAGTTATATTAGTGATCTTAATATAGGAGTGTCTGGGAAGAATTATGGTACTGTTTTGACATGTGTTTTGGAACGTACTCGAATGAGGTGCAGGACATCGCATGTAGTGGAGTTTCTACTTTCTAACTCAGTTCCATTATTGTTATTTTACTCTAGCTAATAACTGCTGTAAATTTCTTGTTTTTGTCACATGAACGATTATCAATTTCATTAGTTCTCTCTGTTTTTGTTTTAATTCTGTGCACTCCTTTCAATTGTTTATGGTTTTGGTTTGTGCTCAATTGGACCAAAAAAACTCTTTGGTGGTAGCCTACCTTAAGAGCTTATCTGTTGTTCATCTTGCAAATGAAAAACTGACGAGTATATTCCTTTTTGCATGTCCTTTAGATTTTATTCCACAATGGCGGAGAATAAAACTATGAGGAAACCAGTTTTTACCAAGGTAGATCAGGCTACGGCCGGTACAAACGGTCATAATCTCGTTGCCAAAGTGTTAGCTTCTAAGATGGTATTACAAAAGGGCCGTCCAGATGGACCCCAAGTGCGCCAAATGCGAATTGCTGAATGTTTGGTTGGAGATGAAACTGGGACAATTGTCTTTACTGCCAGGAATGAGCAAGGTTCTATTTTGTTTATTGGCAATTTTCTTCTTGTTGATTATTGTGATCGTTATAGATGCAAAAAGTTTTTAAATCTTGTGAGTAATTGGGTAGTTTGTGTGTTTCTGGAGAGTGTAGGACAAATGAAGTAACACCTGCTGTTCCTTTACTATACGCAAGTAGTCCATATGTTAGATTTGTTAATGTATTTATCTTTTGATAAGAACGATGACTGTTATTTAAATTTATGCTAATGCCACTATTAATATGTAAAGGATGTTAGAAAGCCCTTTAGAGCAATGGCGCAACTGCCTGCCTGTCTCCGCCGGGGGCCCGGCAGGGGTTGGATTTTGGGTTTGTTTATGAATTGAGAGAGTTAAGAGTGACTTCTGAGCGGTCCCTACTTCATGTATCAGCCTCTGTTACTTCATTGGGATTTTGAAAGCTGTTGGCTTATCTTTCTTTCTCTGTTTTTGTTCTGTTGTCTGGGGAAGCATGAGAGCAAGCTGCAGCTGTTTTTTTTTTTTTTTTTAATTTGTCCGTGTCAGTATCTCATTTAATTGATGCTCAATTATAGTTTCTGTGTAATTGGATATTTAGTCCGAGGTTGATATTTTTTTTTGGGTTATATTTCTTATTTGCAGTGGATATGATGAAGGTTGGAGCTACTATATATTTTGCGCAATGCAAAAATTGACATGTTCAAAGGGTCGATGAGGCTTGCTGTGACAAGTGGGGTCGAGTAGAAGTAGCTGAACCAGCCAGTTTCGTAGTCAAAGAATAATAACCTCTCCTTGGTTGAATATGAACTTGTCAATGTGGTAGAGAATGAATGATTCGAATATGATCCCCTTTGCTTGCTGGAATCAAATCAGTGAACCTGGCATGATACAGACATTGTGGTTTAGGAGGTTGGCAAAGTGATAATACGTTGTTCTTCTCCAAATGCTCTTTGTTTTGCGTGATGCGAATGGAATTTCTGGTTAGAAGAAGATTCTCGTGAGGTTAATTGCATAGGGGGGAAAATGTGATCATAGCACGAGTGCTATCAGGGCAGCTGGTCGTATGAAATGGTGTCCTTGCACCTTTGGTGATTGATCGTTATAATGAATTGGGATAAAGAAGTTTTTTTTTTTTGGTTTTTTCAGATAGCATGGGCCTGAATCTTGTGCAATACATGAATTTTAAATTTTGTAAGTTTGTTGTGTGCCTTTTTATACTCCTCAATATATCTGTTCTTGTATACCTGAATTTGCGCCAGGGATGCATTTGGCTGAGTGCAGGCTACCATGTAGTTAGCAATTTTGATGCACAACGGTAAAGGCAGTGATAGTTCTCCTCCTTCAATGATTAGGAGGGTATCCTTTGTAGACGAGATCAATGTAGTGTACCCTGCCGATGTTCTTGGACGTAGTCGGTCATAAATATTTCTAGGCGTCACCAAAACTTTATATCGGAGTTCCGGAGCATGCTCGCTGTACCAGAAAGGACTCGTTGAAATCTATGTATAATTCTGCAGAAAACGGTAGCCTATTTTATTGTTTTCTGCTTTGAATTTGTCCAATGGGAATTCAATTATGTGAGCATTTTCTGTAACTCCGAATTTACTAGGCCTAAGATTTGGAATGCTGAGGTGAATCTTTTTTTTTTTTCCCCTCATGTTCATGGCAGTTACTCTTTTGAATTAAGGTTTTAAAACTCTCATTTTCAACCCCAAAAATCATGTATTAACTGTGCCAAAACGTACGAAGCAAAACATCAATTTAGTCCCTAAACTATTTGGCTAAAATTAAAAAGGTCATTGAACTTTATTATGAAATAGTTTAGTCTTTCAACTTTTTTGACGAAACCGAAATAGTCCTTAAGAATTTATATGGTTAGTTCAGTCCTTATTAGGCCTGTCAACGGGTCGGGTCTAGACCCGGATTCGGACCGGATCCGTGAAATTATTGCGGGTATGGATAGGAATTTAATTCCGTTTCCCGGATCCGGATCCGGATCCGTTTTGTCAAACAAAAAAAACGGGTCGGATACGGAATATAGTATTCCGACCCGTATTAGACCCGGATCCGGATATAAATGAATTAATAATTTAAAAAATATATATTTATCAATATAATTTGATTAGGGTGATGTATTTTAATAAAATTAATTTGATTTCTTTTCTTATTTGGTTTTTCTTTGCATTAGTTAGAAATTAGTTTACAAATATATTTTTTTCTCATTTTTATTAGAAATTATAAATTTTGGTAAATTTGTTCGGGTAGACCCGGATCCGGATCCGGGACCCGCCGGATCCGATCCGGAACATAGGAAAAAGACCCGTCGGGTAAACGGGTCGGATCCGGATCCGCATAGTAATTCGGTCCGGGTCCGGTCCAGAATAATGAATTCCGGCCCGGACCCGGCCCGTTGACAGCCCTAGTCCTTATATTGCTGATCCACCCAATTTATCTACTTTTGGGATCGAGAACTGAGGGCAAAATAGGAAATCTAGCCATAACCTTTATTACAATGATATAAAAACAGATATTTGTGGAGAAAACAACATGGAATCATTTGAAAAGCAGAAAAATTGAGCTTCTGTTTAATTAAAAGGTAATAATAATGCCAACATTTTTTTTCTAGCTTTTGCATACTCTTGTTGTGTTTATTTCTCTTTTTTCCATTTAATGGAGTGAGTTGGATCTGTGTGATTTTTTTTTTTTTTTTTGGCATTAGCTTCATTTATTTCTCCACGAGAAGCTCTATTTTTTTTAGTCCTCACATGATTCAATTTTGTTGTCAATTTCTGACTAATATCTATTTCATATTTTTTCAATGAGGGCAATGATTGAATTTCTTATTTTGCCCCTAATCGTCAACTTAAAAAGTTGAGAAATTGGATGGATCAAACCATATAAGGATTGGCCATGCAAATAATTAAGGGACTATTTGAACTTAATTAAGATAGTTGATGATGACTAATTGGCTCATAATAAAATTTAAGGACTATTTTGGGCCAAGGCCCAAAACGATGGCCCAAAAAATCCAGTAGCTGGTGGTGTCTTTCATCACCGCGGAGGAAATGAGCTAGGGTTTTTGGCGAGCGGAGGGTTTAAGTTTAACAAATAGCAGTACTACAGAAAAGATTAGTAATCGCAGAAATCAAAACGAAATGTCGTCCAATTGCGCAAGAAGATTACTTCAGCAATCTTCATCTTCCGCCAAGGCATTCCTGAGTTCTGGCCCTCGAATATCTCTACCTTCGTTGCCTCTGGTAAACTAAGATTGGGGACTACTTCCCCTGCCTCGCGCCTTTCCGTCGCCACAACCTCTTCTCTAAGTCCAGGTACCCCTTTGACGTTGTAAACATGCTTTTTGGTAGATTTTTGAATGCGTTTATGTTTCTGATTCTTTATTTGCAATCCCATTTCTAAAGCAATATACCTTCCATTTTAATGTTTATTTTATATTTCTTTTTTTTTGGGGATAAATAAGGATAGGTTGTCATTGATGGGTGCAGGGTACGAATGGAACTGGCTTGCGGTGAGTCATTGATGCCTCTGCACTCCGTCACTGCTTCTGCATTGTTAAAATCTATGCTGTCTTCAGAAGTGGGCCAGTGGGGTCGTCTCTCTGAAGGTACTTACTTCGCTCTTTTACTTCGGGCGATGCATTTCTGCAGCTTCTTTTGTTTTGGTGTCTTTATATAAAATTTTCAGCACTTGTCTTCATGGAGTCATCATGGTTTGTTGTCTTGCTCCTATCACTCGATGAATTGCGATTGCCAAGTGACTCATTCCTGGTCCTATTACATCATTTATTGCCTGTGACTTATTAGTTTCCACATGCAATGGGTGTTTGCCAAGGCTCGATGTTTAGTCGTTAATCCCTTCATGTTCCTTCCAATTTATTAACGATCCAGAGTATGGGTGCGTTTCTGTTCAAGGTTGGTGGCCACATTTATAAGATAGGATTTTGAGGACTGATTTAGAACTCTTCTAAGTGTTTTATTCAGGGTCACCGAATTTCGAATAGTTCATGGCTATGTAAAACTTTGCCCTCTGTTTTGGAACCTGGTTTCATACAATTATGAGCCATTCAGTTCATTGCTGATGTTTATTTGTTGATTAATTTTCATGTAAATAGCCCTGTTAAACTCTCTTTGAGGACTGTGTAAAGAATGAAGGTTGGCTTTAATGTGGGAATTCGATTCCTTGTACCTCTTTGATAAGGGAATATCAAGGTCGAACGTGTGAAAAATGTAATCTGACTCTATGCAGTACACGGGAGAAAATCTAGAAATGGCCTCTTCAGTCTATCTGGCTTACAGAGTTAAAAGGACTTTATGGTCCATGGTGCATATGGTGTGTCTCTGTGGCTACTGTGTGATTGTGTGTCTGTGTGTAGAGAGAGAGAGAGAGCGTGTGTGTGTTATAAGGATTTTGGACAGCTTTGAAGAATCATTGCATGTTTCTGCAAATTTATTAGTAATCATGTTCAAACATTGCATTTGATTGTCATATTGTTTCTTTATTATGAAATGAGTGCAGTGGAATGTTAAACTATTGTGCTTCAAACTTATGCTATGTGGATATAATGAATGCCATGAAATGAGAGAATTTCAGGACATTACAAGTTATGCTTGATGGTTTTGGTTATACTCTTTGTTTTCTTCTTCCATGACAGGATTTGCAACACCACTATAGCAGGGCCTTTGAATCATTCAGCTCACAAACACTTGGAACAATATTAATGAAAATTGCTCTCTTTCTTTTCTGTTTTCTAGCGCAAGAATAAGATTCTTGTAAAACTCCCCAGTGAAAATTAAATTTGTGTATTTCAGGAGGTGCTGACTCGTGATGTACATGCTCCTTTATAAGGAGAATTTCATTAGCAGCAATGCTTTTAAATTTAGCTGTTCTTCCAACTGGTTTCATACTCATTTCCGTCTGTAGTCATATGGCTGGTTGCAATTAGCAGTCTTCATGTTCAAGGCGGTGATCTATAATCATTATAGGTGCTTGTATCATCAGGAGATCGACATCTCCTGTTTGCTTGTAGTCTTAGGAGCATATCATTGTATTCATTTCCTCATTAACCACATACTGCTTTTTAGATCATTGGCCTACTTGTTACAGAAAGCGGTTTATGCATTTGTAGTGCCACTATATTCTTGGTTTCGTTCTCTCTTCTGTGCCATTTTGTTGAATGATCTCCTTCATGATTTTGGGCTTCACCATAATTTGTAGATGCTCCTGATAAGAAACAACTTTCCTCACAAGAAAGGAAATCATTCATATTTGCCTGGGCCACTAATGGAGTTTGACTTAGCTTCTCTGATAATCGCATAATTTTCTGCAATGAAATGAAAGTGGAACACCAATTGACTCCCGCCTTTACATTGCAGAAGGACGGGCATCAATAGCGTGATGTTATCTGTGGTACAAAACATAAGAAAATCTCTTGCGCTTCAAAATCTTATTGATCCGAGTACATGGTTTGTCATTTTCAAATCCATTGGCAGCATGACTTTTGTACAACATTATCTTACCAAGGTAAGATGACTATTGTGTCTCGTTTATCTGTTTGAGGAATTGCAAGTCCTTCATCTGCATCTGCACAGCTTCTTTTGACAAGGGTTTAGGCGTTGGAAACTTGATTTCTTCACTTCCTTCTGCCACTCTCTTTATCTTGTCTTTCACAATCTTCTCAATCCCTGGCTGCCCAACGCTGGGAAAGACAGCATTGAGCATGATAAACAGTAGTCTTTCGTCGTCGTCTTCTATTGGATCCCCTCCAAAACAACAGACGTAAATAGCTTCAAGAGCTTTCTCAGCTCGAATTTCCATTGGGATTGTAGGGGCCGCAGCTCTTAATTTTGCCCGTTTCTGGGTGTTGGACATCAAGCAAATATTTAATGAGAAAATTATACTATAGATAACCTAGTATTAACAAATATTATGGAGTAAGCAACATTTAATGAGAAGATCATATTGTAGATAACCTAGCGTTAACGAGGATTTAGACTCCAAAAGAGCTGTACAAAATTGACCATGTCGAACATTGACAAAAGGAGGACTCATCAGTAGGAAGAAAAAAAAAAATGCGTGAAAGGCCGACTGACCTCCCTTGCTTCATTCATCATCGCTATGAATGTTTCCTCTTCAAATTCAATGTCATTGGATATCCGCAGCCTAGCTACCCCTTCCAATATTTCCTCCGACTTAAGCAGACCAGCGCCTACTGCAGCCAACCAGCAGCATAGCAGCACATACAAAGGGTCCCCTGACTACAAAGTGATTCTAAATCAAATGAAACCGGAAAATTTTCATGTGACAGAGCAACAAGATAAAGCAAACGACATTTTATGACAGTTATAACGGGAAACGACGGTTGATAGATATTCATACTCGGCCTCGTCGTTCTTGAAATTCATACAAGGCTCTTGAATCATTAACGGAACACTTGTTTCCGACCCTCCTCCTAAATTCAGCAAAATCAATTATATCACCGCCAACGCCTCCTTCGTCACTGAGAATTCTGGCCACAAGGCCTATCACGGGGAGTGAACCAATGACCTTATTGGCAAAACCAGAGAGAGTGTTGCTTTCTTCCATGTAAGCTTTGACGAGTAAGACCCCATTGCAGTTCGGAGCTCTAGCCCTAGTGGGGATTCCGTAAAGATGGCGCAAGTAAAGGAGAGACGGCGAGACGGCCTTGCAGGTATGGTTTGGGCAGGCAGCAGTAGCAGCAGTAGTAGAGTGTAGATTCGTTTGGAGAGAGGAGAGCACCACCATGATTGCTAAAGGATTATAGTCTCGTTTAATACTGGCCTCTCATTTCTCCCTTGCGTGATATTTAGATATTCGGCAATGTAGAAGAAAATATTTTAAACAACTGTAAGAGTTTAAGTTCCTCTTTTTCTACATTATATTTGCATGTTTTATATATTTAAAATACGATTTTGTGTAGTGGTGGCTATAAGGCATTCATTAAAATATATTTCAGGTGTTATATTTTTAAAAAAATATAAGATTAATTAAAAAAATAAATAAATATAAGAAAGTGTAAGCAAGATTAAATAAAAAAAATATACATATACAATAGAGGACAATAATTATTAATACGCGTATATATATGATAAGTTAGATGAATATCAGATGTATTAATGAGTGCTCTAAAAGCTCCAATTAGACTAACCCTTTAAAATATAATGATTGAGTTTAGATATTCACTTTAGCAATCTATTAGAGAATAGCTACCACTCAATGCAGGGTAAAATAAAGAGTATAGTCTAGCATAATTTGTGACAAAGTTTAAAATAATGAAGGTTCTGTTTGGAAAGGAAGTATTTAAAACAGCTTGTTCAATATTCATTTGTCAATCATCCGGAATTTAGTAAATTTTTTAAAGCAAATTCGATTCTTTAATATTCAAATTATTTATGTCTATATACACAATACATACAATGTAATAGAATAAGCTATGTGGTATTAGCACTTTTTTGTTATCTTTTAAATTTTCTTTTTATACATTCAGTGCTAAAGGTTATTCGGTCCCAACATTAAAAAACAAAAAAGAAACCACCCACCTCGAGATAATAACCCACTCCTTTACTTTTTTATTTTTTTTATGTAATCCTCCCCATATTGCGTGATTGCATTGAATTTCGACTAATTACTTAATTAGGACTCAAGCACTGTTTGATTCTCTCAACATTATTTTTTCCATGCACAAGATTGGACTCGAAACCAACCTTAAGGGATGTCAAACTCTTTTCTCTATCTATACGATTGGAACCCAAGATCTCAGTTCAACAGTGTGTTAAATTCCTTATCGCTTAACCTAACAACCTACAAAACCTCCTTTATTATCTACACACCTAGGTAAGGGTGGCAATGGGCGGTTCCCCTCCCCCATCCCACGTCCCGTTGCCTATTAAATCGCCCCGCCCCGCTTCCCCCGTAGGGGGTTAAAAATTTTTATTATAATTAAATTTTAGCAAATAATCAAATACTAAAATATCAACACATCACTAAATTATTATTCATTATAACTTCACAATTGAAACTCATAAAAATAATTAAATAAAAGTTATTTGAATATAATCTAATATGATATAACAAATATAACTAAAATAATCAAATTTTCACTTTTGATACAAATACAATTACTAAATTATTATAATATTTTTTTTAGAAAAAGTGATATTGTATTAAGTGTAATTAGGAATTTAATATAAATGTATTAATAAATTTAGTATAAATAATTAATAAATTTTATTAATAGACATATATAATTAGTAGTATAATTGATCATATCAATTATATTACATATACTAATATACATTAAATGATACATATAACTAATAATATCATTATTATAAATTTATAACTAATTAAATTAAATATTATATATATATAGTTATGTATATATATATATCTTTATTTTTTTTTAAACAGATGGTAGGACGGGGGTATACCGCCCCGTTTTTAAATGGGGGGAAAAAATTTCCCCCTCCCGCCCCAAAACCCTCGCCGCCATTGCCATCCTTACACCTAGGACATTCTACAAGCGTATCGCACCCAAAATGATTGCCGTATCCTTGAACATTCCACAAGCGTAGCTGTTAGTAATAACTTTCCATTTTTCTTTTTGGATCAATTTTCCTTTATTACGAAAAGTATGACTAAGTTGAACATAAGAGTTTAAACCTGGAAAATAGGATTATTCAGGCAAAGTGGGTTTAAATACCCCACAATTGGTGCAAATAAAATAGGAGAGAATCGCAGTTTTGGTATCGAATATTTAGATTTCAAACATTTTTAGTCCCTAAAGTTTAGATGTAAACAAATGCAGTTCCAAATGTTTAAGTTTTCATTCACATTTAGTCCTAATTAATGATTTTTACCAATTAATTAAAGATGACTAATTATTCACATTTTATTCACCTAAGTAATTAGTTTTTAACCTAAACTATTTTTTTAAAAAAATTGAATTTTTGGATTCAAACATTTAAAAAATTTAAAAAAGATATTAGAGAACTCTCTGTGTACCTCCTAGTCCCTGGGTTGGAAAAAAAAAAAATACAAACGACACATTTGGCGGCACTGCTTTACGTCACTTCACTTCGCTTTACTCCTCTGCCTTTCGCCCCGCAATCCAATCAAATTAGGGAAAAATGCAGAAGCTGCTCCAATATCAAATCAAGTGATACAGGGAAGAAGTTAGTCCACTCCACTACTGTCACTGACTCCTCACTTCCTCTCCCTCCAGCTCTTTTGCACCACAATTCGCGAAAAAACTAAAAAGAAGAAGAAGAAAAAAAAAGGTCTGCGCATGTTACTTGCAACTTTTTTTTTTTTTTTTTTTTTGTGAAGGCGTAGTGATGATTATAACTAGTACTATTATTGAGTCGCTGATCGTCCGATATCAATTTCATATGGCACAATCAATTTTTGTGCTTTGTTGTTCCTCTGTCAATCATTACTTGTTGGAGTCAGAGTCGGAGACAGGCAAGGAGCAGAGAAAGGACTATGGGGCGTGTTGCAACGATGGCGTCACCTCATCGCCCAGTTACAACTTCTTTCCCTCTCAAGATATGAGATTCTCCAAGCACGTTCACGATAATGTCCACGGCAACATTTATCTTGATCCGGTAATCTCCTCTACTTTTTTCCCACCCCCCCATTTGTTTTTTTTTTTAAATTTTTTTATTTTTGGGTAAATTACTTCGTTCCGTGAAAATTTGTCCGGATTTTATTGGTATTTACAACAAATTGTGGATTGCTCAGTAAATTTAACCGCTGCAGTTGTAGTGCTAAAATCAATTGATTCTTTGTGTAACTAGAGTGAGTGATGGATTTGAATGGAATTTGTGCTACTTAGCCAACATCACCTTATCTTTTTAAGGCTTTCTGCCAGTAGTACACTACTGTCTTTGAAATATAGGTACTTTCTTTTGTGCGGCTTGGAAAACTTTTATCTCGCAGTAGTGTTGTAAATGTGTTGCAAATCATTGAGTAATTTTGACTCCTTCCGATTTGTTGCAGATTGTTTTGAAGTTTATCGATACTGAACAGTTTCAAAGGCAAGTTTGTAAATATATGTCAATCGTGTGTTTCCTGTATTGATATGATTCTGTGTTCCTTGTTTTTCCCCCTTTTCCAAGTCAGTG